AAACGAAGTGAGATTTGTGATTTGACCGTGCATTTTAGTGTGTGTAGGAGTGTATTGTGTATAAATAAAATGTTACTATTATGGTGGAGAATATAGTGTGTTTATAAGTCATACCTACTCTTGAGGCTTTAACCTAATTTGGAGCCCATTAAACATGTTAAAGTTGAGTCATGGTTCATCAATGAAATCCAATCTCAAAGATTTACACGAGCCCAATAGAATGCCAAATTGCCCCCCTCACTAGTTTTTGCTTTTAAAATAAGCAATTTTAGCGTATAATTTGAGAAACGCACCATCGGAGCTGCGTTTACGAAAAAACACTTTTGTAACCAACTAGTAATCACATTTTATATTTGTATCCTTAATTTCCCTTATCCAAATTTTTAATTAATAGGACAATTCACAAAAATGAATCAAAATTAAAAATTTATTTGCAAACAAAATCAATTTCTAAATTATGTGCTCAAGTTGATCAAATGCAATGGTGCAACGTAGTCATGAGATTCATTATAGTCTACTAACATACGATTGTTATTATGAGTAATATTAAAATTTGAAATAAATTACTTGAGGCAGCGACACACACGCTCCGTGACGGCGAGTGGGGTCCATACAGCCGTTCGTCCCATAAAAAACGTTGGAAAAGTCAAACCCGATTCAAACTCGAATCACGTGAGATTCTTCCAGGCTGACTGTGGGTCCCATCCTACGTGGAAGCCGTTGAAAGTCATACTCTTCATTTTATGACCACCCAAAAACATTTCGGCTTAATCACACTTTGCACCCTTTAAATATATCATTTTCACACTTTGCACCATGAAAATAAATTAATAGCACTTTGCATCCTAGAAACATAATATATCATGCATAATGCACCCCAAATTAATTTTTAAAGTTAACAAAGGCAATTTAACATTTTTAGTGGTATTTTTTTAGGATGTCAAATGTTAAATCAATTTTTTATTCATAAATCATTTTGAAGCTATAACGTGCAAAAATAAAAATACATTTCATCTACATATTTTTTTTTTAAAATTATCGAAATATTTTACTAAAAAAAATCTTTCAGCTATTCTGTTATCAAGTTACCTGAAAATCATATTTTTCTAAACTCTACATATTATTTCCACCAATTACAATAAAAGATTCATCAATCGAATAAGTTAGCGATAAAAAAATATTTTATTTTATTTTGTAAGAAAATATAGTTTTTTTTTTCAATAATTCAGTGTTATTTTTATTTTTTCGCACTTTGTGCGCTCGAAATTATGTTGGAGGTTGAAAAAAGTTAAAAAAAAAAATGTTACTTTGAACCCTAGAAAAATAAATACCCAATAAAAAATAAAATTCTCTTTATTATTCAATTCATGGTGTAATGTGAATGATTTATTGTGTTTTGAGAATGCAAATACTATTATTATTTTTTAAGGATGCTAAGTGGCAAAAAACTCTATTTCGAGGGTGCAAAGTGAGATTAAGCCCTTTTAAATGCAACCTATTCTCACATACAGCTGATCTCAACCGTTGATCTTTGGGGGTGGGTCCCACTTCTCTTGCACAGCTGTATGAAGGCAAAATAGTCAAAAAGCGTGGGTCCCACTTGTCGTTTTCTGAAAACAACATCTCCGTTTTGTTATATTTATTTGAACTCGTGTGCTGAAATCGCGTTTGATTAGGAGAGATATACATTTTATTAATATTAATAATATCACTAATTAATCAATAATTTAATGGTGATTAAAAAATTAATTAAAGAAACAGCTCTCTCTTAACTGTCATGTTTTAAATGCTGACCACTGAATTGATGATAAGCATGAGAGAGCCTTTTGTACGAGAATGATTAACTGGACTATTATTACATTATTAGTTTACTTTTTGTCTTCTCGAGGATTTATTGTTTTCGAGTTCCCAATTTTGCCCTTTGTCAATTGCCATTTTATTACTTATAATTCATTAATTTTTATTTGATGAAAATGAACTAATTTCTTACCAACTAAATAGTTATTTAATTGATAATGTGTTCGATTTCTTAGAATATAATTTCATATTATTTTTTTAAATATTTTAGTATTTTATGTAATTTATCAATAAAACTTCTTATTTAACAAAATAATGATATGATGTTCATGATAAATTTGGTTGTTTCATTTTTTTAGTTCTCAACTTCTATAGAACCAATCATATAGGGAGGAGCAGTCAGTACTAATTTAATGAAATAATAATATTAAATTATGAGTTTTTTTCGAGCGGATTTGAACATCTTACTATTTAGTTAATTAGTAGAACTTGATAGTAGTAACTGAACGAGACATAAGTCTAAACAATCATTGTAATTTCTAAGCCACATGCATCTAACTACTTATTACTATCCCATTTTCAAATTAACAGTCGTTTAAATTCTCGACGACATGTACATTAAAAAAATTGATAAATATTTATGGATCTTATTAAAATATCCTTATTAATTTTGAACATAATCTAACTCTATTAATTACTTCTTTGTTTGAGAGAATCAACATTTGAAACAGTCCTCGAGTAAAATTGGAAGATAATAGTTAATCATTATTGAAATTTTAAAACGACAGTAATATGAAACAAGAAAATTTCTTTAAAAAGTAAAAATGACGATTAGATTGAAACATATGAATTAACACACAATACATTATATATATACTTATGCATTGTTTTTGTTGGTGATGGTATTTTTCCTTCTAATTTATGTAAATGATCATAAAATGTATATATTCTTGTAAGTGAACTATTTTTCTTACTATTTAACATCTAAATGTTTTAGTTAAATATTACACTCTTAGCCCTATTTTGTCAACCAAACAAACAAGACCTAGTGAGTATGTAATCTAAAGTAATTTAAATACTAATTTGTTTACACCATTGTGTGGGCATGTTCAATTAACTTCCACCAATAGTACAACAATATAATATCAAAAATTCCCCCAAATATCCCAACTTTTGTAAAAAGAATTCGAGTGTTTGATTGTGAGTACTATTGAGTATAATTCCCTATGTGTACACAAAGACAAAACAACACAAGCATTTCTAACACCCTATCTTTTAATCCAAACTACTCCCAAATTCAAAGAATCTTATCACATACCATAACATCAAATAAACCCCATTTATCTCACACATATAGTTTTTACTGTCTGTCCACATGAATAAAGCTCAACATGGTTCACGGTAATAAGTTGGTGCAATGACCTAGGATCGAGTATTGACAATTTTGGTGTGAGAATTCAGCTCTAATGAGGGTTAATTTCGTCTGGATATTAGGCCCAAATCCACTATTCTAACGGAGCATTGAGTCAACATGATTTATATTCCTTCATTAAAAATATGTCGGGCGATGGAATAAGGACCCTGGGGGCGAGCGAGGAATTTCATCTAATTTTGGTGCAAGATTTTTGCAGTGTTTACACATATTACCTTAATATTCAAGAAACAATGTTCATTGTTGTACGGACAGAGGACAATATATATATCTAAATAAATATTTACCTAAAATAATTAAAACCTTGAATCTAGACTTGCATGCAAATTATCGTCCAAAAATAAAGACCTCATTGAATTTCAATTCAATGAATCTTCAATGAGTAAACAATAAACTTTAAAAAAATCACATGTCCAAAAGTGTAATTTATGTAATAACGACAAAAAAGAACCAGTTATGACAATATCTGCACACAGGAACAAAATCCCATATTTGTATTGCAAATGGGTACCCATTTGCTACACTCATTCTCAGTTACAAATTAAAAACCCCCACCAACTTTACATAAGGCAGTTTCCAAGAAACCAACTCTTTTTCTAACTTTGCCCTAAATAAAGCCATACCCCCTACCCCAAGTGCATGCACCCCCCACAAACCACCCCCCCAAACTCAACCTCCCATTTGTTCTATACTATATAGTATATACTCAATGAATTTCATTATATCCCGCATGGGTGTTGCTCAACTGGTTCTGAAGGTGGTAAGTTGGTGCAAGGTCCTAGGATCGAATCCTGGCAGCCGCAGTGTGGGAATTTCAACTTCAAATGAGGGGTTGGTTCCTTGTGGACACCAGATCCGGGTCCGCTACCTTAACGGGCCGTTGAGTTACCATGATTTACATCCTCCATCAATCCTTGTCGGGCAAAGGGATGGGGGCCCTTGGGGCGAGGGATTCGCCTTTGGTGCAATGAATTTCATTATATTATATCCTATTTATGGGTGAAAATTGGATAGTTTGGATTAGAATTAGCTCTTTTAGGATATTTTTTTTCGGAGGTGAAAAATTAATTCCAGTTTTATTATTAAAAAAATTTAAAATTGATGGAAAAAATTGATCATAAATCGAAATTTTATTTGGATCGGTGGAATTCGAAAGTTGCAGTTTTTTGTCAGCTATAATACAAACACATAATAATATTGATATTATAAGGTTAATTTTAGAAAAAAAATGTCGGAGTAATCGAAAATATTTTTTGCAAATTTAAATAAAACCGGAAATTGTAATCTAATTTGAATTCCAATTCCATTAAAATAAAATCAAAAAATCAGAACTTTCGGGGATTCAAAGTGAAAAATATTGTTCCAAAATCGACATAATTCATAATTTCCAGTTTGATTTCCACAGCAATTTTTAAAAATTCTTGCATAAATTTATACATATTTTGCACACATCCATATTTACATATTTGTAAATAAATTAAGAATATAGTTCCAAAATCAACGAAATTCGTAATTTCCTTTTCGATCTTGTGGGCACCAGGTACAAGTCTACTACCCTAACGGGGGCGTAAGTCACCATGATTTACAATTGTTCATAAAAAACAGGGTCCTGAGGCGAGAGATTTCGTCATTTTACTGGTGCAAAATGCAAATGAGTGTAAATTAAAAGTGAAATCTACAATAATTATACCACCGTCCATTTACTTCATTGCTAGTGTATGTATGTATGTATCATGAATGTATATGTATAGTCCATGTATCTATATCTATATATAGTTGCCTTCACTCATTCTCACACCCCACTTGCTCTCTTACACTCCAAAAAACTAACTCTCATCAATTACTACACATTTTTCTTTCTTTCCAACTTCTCACTATCTAATCTTGATTAGTGAAGAGATTAGCAAAATTAAATCACTTTTCAAGAATGGATATTTTTCAGAGGTGCTCGTCGGGAGGGAGTTCGACTTCGTCGGATTCATCGTCGGACTCGTCTTCGATGTCCGCCGGCGGCGGCAAGAATCCGACAAAGTCGGAGAGAATCAAAGGTCCGTGGAGTGCGGAGGAGGACAAGATCCTGACCCGGTTGGTGGACCGGTACGGGGCCCGGAACTGGTCCTTGATAAGCAAATACATAAAGGGCCGGTCGGGGAAGTCTTGCCGCCTGCGGTGGTGCAACCAGCTCAGCCCCAACGTGGAGCACCGCCCCTTCTCGGCGGCGGAGGACGCCGCCATCCTGGCGGCGCACGGCAAGTACGGGAACCGGTGGGCCACCATCGCCCGTCTGCTCCCCGGCCGCACGGACAATGCCGTCAAGAACCACTGGAACTCGACCCTGAAGAGGCGGTGCCAGATGCGGCGGAGCTTTGAGGAGCCGCCGAAATCGGACGACGGCGAAAATACGGCGGCGGCGGCGGCGGGGTCTGGTGGGGTGTATCCGCCGCCGCCGCCGGCGAGTGTTGGTGGTGGTGATTGCGACGGCGACGAGTACGACCCCATGACGGCGCTGTCGTTGGCGCCGCCGGGGACGGGGGGCGGCGGGGCGGCGGCGGAGAAGGGTTTGCCGGCGGAGTTCTGGGATGTGATGAGGAATGTGATAGCGAGGGAGGTGAGGGACTACGTTACGACGTCGTATCCGGAGACTTCTTCTGGGTTTCGTTTGTGATGTTTTTTTTGTTTCGGCGGTAGTTTAATTATTTATTTACTTTTTTAATCCCTTTCGGCGGTGATTAATTAATTTCTTGTTAATATATTTATTTATATATATTTCTTTTTAAAATCGCGTTTATTTCTTTATTAATCGATATTCATTCTGAAAGCTTAAGATGGAAGTCTTTTTAAGAACACAATTTCTACCAAGATTTGCCCAAGCTTATTTTATTTTATTTGAGTTTCAAAATTCTTAATTTTCGTTTTTAAACTGCTCAATTATGTTTCAAATTCAGTTCTTTCCTGAAATCCAATATAAATTCGGAATAATTGTTAGTAGAGAAATGTGAATTCACCTCCAAATCCCAATTTTTATGACCACTCGTTCGGTTAGTGTTGTACGATTCTACTGACTAAATAATAGGGACTAGTAACAAATTAGTAACTAAAGTAAAAAAACTGCTGTCAAATTAATACTATTTCATTAAATTAGTAGCTCTCTTCTTAGATTAATATAATTGTGGATGACTAAATAAATAAAACTAATTTATCCTTCAAATTAAATATTTATTTTTCTTAATATTCTTCAAATACATGTTAATTATACTAAATAAAATGTTTTATATACAAATCATATACAATAATTTAACAGATTTAATTCATCATTGAATCCAATAAACCGAACGTCATACTAACTAACTAATTAATTAGACAGTAAAGAATTAATTTAATCTCATCTAATTCAAATTAATTCAATATAGTTAACCGAACAATCCCTTAATAGCCTAACTAGTAATTCACCCGTGCGATGCACGGGATCAATTTTCTTTTTAAATTTATTTTGAATAAAATAAAACGAACGAAAACTTTGAACGGTTGACATACATGTGAATAATACCAAAAAAAAAAATATTGTGTTGAATCATAATATACATTTGTTTGTGATTTACCTTCATATTCGCTGAAAATATTTTGTGAACACAACATTGCTCGTAATTTTAGTTATATCGCCCGATTCCGAGTTGATATATATCTTTATCTAAAATCTACTTTTAACTCTGGACATTGCGGCGTATAATTGCCTATGCCACCCTAATATTAACACTAATATTACATTAACAACAACTACTACTAATACTAAAACCAATATTGATAATAGTAATACAAATACTAATATTAATACTAAAACCTACACTAATAATACTTATATTAATATTAATCCTAATATTAATATTAATAGTCTAATACTAATATTTAATGTTTAAACTAATACACCAATACTAATATTAATACTAATACTAATAATAATACTAATACTAATACTAATAGTACTACTAATACTAATACTAATACTACTACTAATACTAATGCTAATGCTAATGCTAATGTTAATGCTAATACGCAAAGACTAATATGAATTTGAATACTACTAATAATACTAATAATGATAATAATTATAATGATAATAATATTGATATTGATATTGATACTGGTTCAGATAATGATACTCATATTAACATTGATACTAATATTAATACACATACTGATACACATACACATATTGATATTGATATTGATACTGATACCGATACCGATAATGATATTAATATTCATACTAATACTATTATTAATACTAATACCAATATTAATGTGCATACCAGTAGTCATACCAATACTCATATAGATATTGATACTGATACTGATACACATACTCATACTGATACTGATACTGATGTTATTGATAATGATACTAAAACTGATAGTGATACTGATACTAATATTGATATTTATACTAATACTGATACTGATACTAATACTAATATCATACTAATACTAATACTAATACTACTACTAATACTAATACTAATACTAATACTAATACTAATACTAATACTAATACTAATACTGATACCGATACTGATACACATACTCATACTCATACTCATACTCATACGTAAGTAATGTTGACATAATTATAAATTAAACGTTTAAATTTAGTAATTTTGCCGTATAATGATATTAATGATTATTTTTTTACTGTTAGTTGAATAAAATTATTATTATTTGTAACAAATTAAAAGAAGATACATAAAACATGTGTCAAATTTAGGTACTACCAAATGTCAAAAATATAGTTTTCATTTAAACTTTATATAGAATCATATCAATTAATATCCATTATTAATTTCTTTTTGTCTCTAATTCTTCTCTATATATGATCAACAATAAAAATAAGTTTACGATTTATATACTTAAACATAAATTAAATAGCAAAAGGAAATTGCTAAAGGAAAAGAAAAAAGAAGATTGACACATATAATAGAAAGTAAATAGCAAATTATGAAACAAAAATCTGGAAATACGCTTATCAATATATAATAGGTATCTAGAAAAGTATATCACGTGTCTTTATCGCCTGGTTA